GCCTCTTGGCGCCTTCTCAACTACCGTTTTGAACGGGTAGAGTGCCCCCTCCCCATACTACCATGATGCCAGTGACCCTCAGTGGCTGGACCTATATTACGACAGGATCAACTATAGGGAGAAAAAAACATAAGGCGTTCCGGTCTCCGCCCATTACGTGACAAGTGCACTATCCTCACTCCTTCGCACCTCGTCAAAGATTGGGAACAAGGTTTGTCGATTGGCTGGCGCCGGGGACGTCTCGAGCAAGAACCGTCGTATCACAGACACCAATCTCCAAAGTTAATTTCGTGGAATAAAGTTAAACTAAGGAACACACAAACTTTCTCGTTCCCGCCATTACAGTGCCAAAACCACTCCCTTGCCCCTTGGCGCCTTGTCAACTACCGTTTTGAACGGGTAGAGTGCCCCCTCCCCATACTACCATGATGCCAGTGACCCTCAGTGGCTGGACCTATATTACGACAGGATCAACTATAGGGAGAAAAAAGCATAAGGCGTTCCGGTCTCCGCCCATTACGTGACAAGTGCACTATCCTCACTCCTTCGCACCTCGTCAAAGATTGGGAACAAGGTTTGTCGATTGGCTGGCGCCGGGGACGTCTCGAGCAAGAACCGTCGTATCACAGACACCAATCTCGCAGGCATGCGAGAAACAAAAGAATCGCAACAAGACAGCTGGCAGGTTTACATGCTTCTATAGACTTTTCCAGACAAAATTTATGTAACTAGATTAATCAAATATATATGGGTTTTCACTACTGCCAATTAGGTCACCGTTTCTTTCACAGTGTACTTGAAGAGTGAAAAAACATGATATTGCGTTTTGAAAGGTAAAGACACTGTTTAGTAATACTTGTACATCAGAGGCGGCCCTCCCGGGAGGGGGGGGGGGGGCAGGGGGGCACAGTGCCCCCCCCCACTTTTTCAGATATCCCCAAAATGCCCCTTTTTACATAGGAAAAGTGCCCCTTTTATTTTGTAAGAAGTGCCCCTTTTACATAGGAAAGGTGCCCCTTTTACTTTGACAAGTGCCCCTATTATTTAGTAAAAGTGCCCCTTTCCCCTTTTTACCTCTGACGAGTGCCCTTTTTATTTTTGACACGTGCCCCTTTTCCTTCGACATGTTCCCATTTTCCTTTGCAATAAATGTTCATTTTCCATTCTCATGAATCTTGAAATTATCTTGAATAAGTGCCCTTTTTAATCTCTAGTAAGTGCCTCTTTTCAGGTACGAGAAGTGCCCCTTTTCACTTTTAATAAGTGCCCCCTTCACCTCTGATGATTGCCCTATTCGAAACTGAGAGGTGCTCTTTTTACTTTGACAACTTCCCCTTTTTTCCTTTGTAAGAAGTGCCCCTTCTCCTTTTAATAACTACCCCTTTTTTAAACTCGGATGAGCGCACCTTTCATTTTAACATGTGCCCCTCTTATTTTCTAATAAGTGCCCCTTTTCCTTATGATTAGTGCCCCCATTAAAAAGAGAGAGCTCCTTCCCCTTCTAATAACTTCCCCTTTCCCTTTCTAATAAGTGCCCCTTTTCCTTATGATAAGTGCCCCCATTAAAAAGAGAGAGCTCCTTCCCCTTCTCATAATTGCCCCTTTTAAACATCTGAACGGTGCCCCCTTTTCATTCAACAAATGCACATTTTCCTTTATTATAAGTGCCCCTTTTACATTTTCATAAGTGCCCCTTTTAATAATGATACGTGCCCCTTTTCCTTTCTAATAAGGGACCTATCCCCTTTTCACCTCTTATAAATGACCCTATTAAAATCTGATGGGTGCCCCTTTTCCGTCAACAAATGCCTATTTCCCATTTTCGTAAACGCCTCCTTTTCATCACTGGTGAGTGCCTCTTTTCAAGTGAAAAAATGCCTCATTTTCACCTCTTATAATTATCCTTTGTACTTATACACGTGCTCCTTTTCTTTTCTAATAAGTGTCTTATCCCTTTCGATAATTGTCCCCTTTTCATGTAATCATTAAACGTGCCCCTTATTTAAAGCGACTAAGAGCAGTTTCCCCCAAAGTTCACTCGCTGCGCTCGCTCGCATTTAAAGATTATATAATTATGTTACTTATCAAAGGTCTTTTCAGTCTTCCGTTATGAGAATGTGCTTATAACCCCATCACGATTGGCTTTTTTCCTCTTTATAAGATGTAATTTTTCGCACTGCTCGTAAATGCATATTCAGACATCACACCCAACTGTAAAGTTTGATGCTTAAGCGATATCTTGTATGATGTATGAAGAGAAACAAATATTGAAATCATCCCTGATAATGTAATCACAATGTAGGGGTATATACCAATGTCTAAAAATTGTATATTTTCGCTTTGAGATTTCCCACTGTAGGTGCCCTTTTTTCCAGAAAATGCCCTTTTTTGTTGGTGCCCCCCCCCCCCACTTTGAAAGTCGCTCGGCCGCCCCTGTTGTACATACATAAATACAATTAGTAAATCCGGTGTTTAAAAAAAATGATCGGCGACCATTTTGTGATCATGATAGTTGCCTCAAGATGTCTCTGGTTTCGAATTATTTATTAGTTCTTGACAGAAGTACCATTATTATTATTCCTACCGCACACATTCCCCTGATTCATTCAGTGTTCTCAATATAACTATTCTAAAATGAAATGCAAACAAATTTGCTAGTATTTGTGAAATATTTATTGTAGTGAATGGATTCTGTGATAACTTTAGGATTATTCATGTAACAACCAGTATTATGCGGAGGCTGATTGTGGTATTGCTCTACATTAATTGCACTCTCTCTCTCTCTTTCTCTCCCCCTCTCTCTCTCCCCCCCCCCTCTCTCCCTCTCTCTACTTCACCTGAATAAATCGAAAGCGCTTGTAAAGTTCAATCCATGCTTCTTGTGTATTCCATCTAGCGTTATGAATCAAAATATTTTCTACCATTGTCACTCTGCACAACAATCTCATTGACCTTATTTTAATCCTCTTAGCATTTTCAATATATATATATATATATACACAGGATTATGTATATATAAAAAAAAACAAGACTAAAACGACTACTTGATGACTTTAACTATAATGTGAATCCCAAAGAACTCATACACCAACTAAACAGACTTGGTAATGGAATATGATCGATGTGTCTGTTTATTGCTACTTTTTTAAAACAAAAATACAATTATAATTATGTAAACATATCTAAAGATGACTGCATAAAGGTTGATCAAATCCTGATCAAATCAATCGAGACCTAAGCTATCACTTGCAGCCCCCTATATCTATGAGATTACGAACCTTTTTCATGTATTTGATGTAAATAACTATGTGGCAAATCGTGCCAACTTTTCATCTGCTTTTTCAAGCAATGTTTATGTCACTACTTTGTAAAATAATTTGTTCTCCTTTTCTCAAACCATGTTGGATTTATTTAGACTACACTTATCTAGTTTGTATTCTACTTTTTTTCGAATAAAATGACCTTTAAAAAATGCAATATACAGACACATAATCGCAATCATCGTAATTTTGTACTCCCTTTCCACATAAGGTTTAGAGCATTTTAGATTATTTCTCAATAAATTATTTATTAATTTCTAATTCATTGGGTAACAGATAGCTATATTCCCTTATTTGTTCGTATCTTAAACGATTATTATTTAAAAAAAGTAAGCTTTATGTACTTTGTATTATGTTTAATGATGCTGCAATTCAGCTTCGGCTGCCAGAACGTCATATGAATAATCCCTTATTGAATTGAATTGAGATGTGGCGTCTGAACTTGTTCTGCCTATATCCATCCAATCCATCTCAGAGATATAGAGTCTATATTTAAAAATATCAAGTCGCCATCAATACATGGCCATTGATCAGTCGATTTTTATAGAACCAAATTTCTATGAAGATGTTATGTATATTTTATGTTTTCAATTTAGTTGTACAATAGAATGTAAAGCTTCAGCTTTTCATCTTATAACTATTTTTATGCCTGCACCATCATAGGTGATGATAACAGGTTTTCCGGAGGCATTGTGTTTTCGGGTTGTCCGCCCGTCCGTCCGCCTGTCCCTCTTTTCGATACCGCTATAACTTGAAAACCAATTAACGGATTTTAATCAAGCTCGGGGGGATTATGTATGAGCATCCAGAAATATACACCAACTCGTAACCTTCGTTCAACAACTGACAAATATAAACTAATTATTCCCAAATCCAGACTCTCATCTAATGAAAAACGTTTACAATAACTGCATCAAAAACGTGGACTTTACATCAGAGAATTAACCTGTCTTGTCTCTTTTAAAAGATCCCTTCAATCATAATTCTTTCCTCAGAACCAAAAGTGTGATTTACCTATTTTTATGAGTCTATGTATTTCATGTTTCTCTTCAAATTCTGTAATTTGTAAGTGCTATAGTACTTTTTGTCTTTTGCGCTCTTAAATACTATATATCATTAATGTTATTTAAAAATACCAGAAAATACCCTGTTACTGCAATAACTTGAAAAGCATTGAAGCAACACCCCCCCCCCTCTCTCTCTCTCTCTCGCCCCTCTCTCTCCCTCCTCTCTCTCTCTCTCTCTCTTTCTCTCTTTCTATCTCATCCTTCCCCCTCTCTCTGCCTCTGTCACTCCCATTTTCCTTTTCTTTAGGTCTTTGTTTGAACTAATCAATAGTGACGTTGGAAAACTACAATTTTCCCACGGATAAATACCACAAAGTGTCGCAGAAAATCAGCTACTGTAAAAAGCTGTCGAATTGTTGTACACGTTAGTGCCCTTTAACCGATTTGATTTTCAGAATATCCGAACAGCTGTCAATATCAGACTATAGACTAGACAATGTGGAAGATTATTTTTTTTTTAAAGGTCAAGGTTTCAAGGTTGTTAACACGATTTCTAATTATATTAATTAAGCAATGCTTGTCTGCATAATAATGAAATAAAAAATCAGTCTGTCATTGGGTAGAGGCTACTATGACCTAACTGGGTGTTCAAGAACTTGTGATTTCTCGTTTGGATTCACCCAAATCACAAGTTTACTTTCATTCTTGATTGCGATGCTCTATAGGTGAGCACGCGACAAATTGTCTACTCGAATTGGTGTGTATTTTATCTGACATGCTGCTGATGTCAGAATGAGAGATCCTAATATTTTGCAACACCTGTTGGTGATTACTTGCCTTCACTATCTCCTCGTTGGTAAGTTATTCATCAGAACTTACACATAAGAAATGTTCATGTATTTAAAGATTACACTATTCATCTCTCCTGTTGAAGAAATATTACGTAAAAACGTTAAAGAATTTACCGTAACGTGTGCATTATTTTCACATAGTTTATTTTTTCAGGATAGCCTATCTTGACTTTCTACTGCCATGGTATCCCAAGTTGCCGTCAACCAAATTTCTTTGTCTTATACCATGTAAAAATAGGTGTTTAAAAGAAATATGAGTTAAACTTTCAAAATCAAGTGATTAGATAATGAGAGGAGTGCAATAACAGGATAGCTCTGTTATTAATACAATGATTGCAATTCACAAAAAGTGTATTAGTTATGTGAATTCGTTGCGATCAGAATGCATATTTCTTATTTTGAAGCTTTAGGCATTTCAGTCGTGTTATTTACCGTTTTACGAATATGGCATGTAAAGCTGACTTTCTGAGAAAAGGTCGAATTTGTAAAGCTAAATTTATCATAATCTGCTGCATGGTGGGTTGGAAGTTTTAAACTTCTGGGATGAAAGCATTTATTGTCATAAAAAACATACATGGAATATTGAATATTTAAAATCATACTCGGACACTTATGAGAATAAAAAGTAGACATCGATAACACATATTCAAAACATCGATGACCTTACAGCATCACATTGGTATGCCCGTCATAAAATACAAAAGTGATGTAATTTAAATTGTACAGGAAATTATGCGAATGGATAGTATAAGTTAACAATTCAAACACCGTTTTAGAAAATTGTATGTTACATAACATGTACAGAAATAAAACTTTTTTTTCTTTCTTCAAAATCAAAACCCAATTATATGGTAATTTTTTTTTTTCTCGAACAGGGACGGCGGTTGCTGCACCTCCAGCCAGCGTCCATTCTGGGAAGACGCTTTCAGAGAATGAAAATTCTATCCCTAGAGGACTCTTCAGCTTTCTCTCACAACTCAGGGACCGTCGAGAACTGAGAGATGATGACCTCAACGAAGAAGCAGCGCCTCCGAACCTCCGAAAGGCCGAGGGCGCACCGAGTGTACAACGCCGAGCTGTCGATTACTTGAAGAAAGGCGATGTGAACCAGTTGCTGATGGGCGATGGTTATGACCTCGATGAAAGGCAAAAGAGAGAAGTGGAGAATGACATGGAAGAATACGAAGGGCATGATCGTCGGGTACGGAATGCAGATGTTGCCCTAGTTCCGCTTTCTGAACTTGAGCTGACAGATGACGATGTAGAGATCAAAACTGGTGATGGATTACACCAAAGACTGAAGAGACGAGCGAAAAGGAATAGGAATAAGAAGAAGAGGAAAGGTAAAAAGAAGAAGAAGAAGAAGAAGAAGAAGAAGAAGAAGAAGAACGGTAAAAAGAAGTCCCAAAAGGGTAATTCAAAGAAGAAGGCAGCTGCTAAAAAGAAATCCAACGGTAAGAAGAAGTCGCGTAAAGGAAAGAAGTCAAAGAAGGGAAATTCAAAGAAGGGGAAGAAGCAAGGCTCGAAAAATGGGAAAAAGTCCAAGAAAAGCAAGAAGAAACCCGTGAAGAAACCCAAGATACAAGCACTGCAAGCAAGCGTACACAAGCTGAAATCAGTGAAGCCATTGTTTCTGACATGCCTGTTGCACTCTATGTTTCAAGAAAATCTCAATCCAGATAAATACCTGAGCTCTCTGGTCTACCTGTTGAAGGAATCCGACAGATCGATGATGAATATGTCGATGGATTCCATGATGGCAATGAACGATTCTGCTATGATGGCAATGAATGATTCTGCTATGATGGGTTCCACCTTATCTCTAGAATCGTTGCTCAACCAGAACATGTCCATGAGAACCTCTGGCCACTATTTTTACACATTCGGCGATAGTGTGTCATCTTTTCCCGACCAGAAGTTGCCGCTGAAGAATATAGCGGATCGAAACATAACCGACACCGAGCTCATGTACATGAGAGGACTCCTATTGAAGGTCATGTCCATGTTGTTTATGAAAGAGGGCACTCGTTATGATGTTGATGGCTTCGTGATGGAGCTGGAAATGAATCTCAATGGATCGATGCCAGAATCGATGTCCAGTGGAGAAAATAGCCCCGAAATGGTATGTCCATCGTTGGAAAGGAGCTTGTTGTCTAGCATGAATGGCTTGATGACCAAAAAGCTAGTGAAGTGCCTTCATGAAAGTCTTACGGCTTTGCTGGCTAACGATACCGCCAAATTTGTCAGAGGGCTACTCCATGAAGGTGACAAATCGTTTGAAATACTGTACCTCATGAGGAACACAAGGGACATGTATAAAGAAGGAAAGGCGGCGTTGCTTTTATCCTGTCTGTTTGAATCTCTTTTCGACGGATATGTGGGTAACGACATTTTGATGTACCTCCTTCCATACCTTGCTGACAACATAATGATGAAGGGCATGGATAATGGCATGATGTCAATGATGGATAATTCTTCCATGTCTCAGATGATGAATGAAACGATGAACATGATGCCGATGAGCGAATCGAATGAATCTTCACCCATGCCGAGTTTCAACCCATCAACAATCATGGACTCACAGTACTGTCGTAATGATTCGATGGCAGACCCGACGATGATTTTCATGTATGTTATGAATATGACCAACATGACAATGACTGACGGTGATATGAATATGACAATGGACGTGCTTAAATCAATCTTGGCGGAGCTGAAAAGATCGACGAACGAATCCGTTGTTAATGCTCAGACAGCACCCAGTCTTCTACTTCCTGCTGTTATGGTATACATGGAAAACGCGTCTGGGATCTATCGTACGAAGGCCATACACCATGCTATTAGGTATCTGATCAACTACGGGATTGACATGGAATCAATGGACATGATGGATGACAAAATGGGTACCACTGATGGAGGAATGAATATGTCTTCTTCGATGAACCAAACAGCTAATGCTACATCGGACATGGAAATGATGGGGAAACTGGATGGCATGGGCATCCCTGATGCTATCTGTCCCGCGATGGTCAAAGAGTGCCTTCCTAAAATGGACAAATCGGCCAAGATGGAGTTCTCCAAGAGGTTTCTGTCGGCCAGCAAGTATTTGCTGTGTGGGGACAGTGAGGATTGGCAGGAGGTGATAGAGACGGGAATGGTGGATATGATGGAAGAAATGGATATGATGGAAGGAATGGATACGATGGAAGAAATGGCTGGTGATGATGATGATGATGATGATGGTGGTGGTGGGGATGATAATGATATTGGTGGTGGTAGAGATATGATGATCATTCCATAAATAACAGAGCGGCCCTGAAATTACCCAAACTTTTCATAAATAGATAAAACGCTGGTTTATGACTTTTTTGTTCGAATATAT